GTCTGAATGAAAAATTGAGAAGGGTAGAAAAATGCCACATACCATTTCTCCCCTTTTCTTGACTTCCACCTCGGCCGCTTCGAATTCTTCCATACTGTCACTATCGGTCATGAGGTAGGCGTCACGAAGCATCTTGATGCCGAAAAAAGCGAACAGAGCGGTCGAGAAGTAGAACGTGTACATACGAGGAATGATCTGCGTAGCCCAGCCGAAACAAGCTGCAAAATGGTCAGCATCAGAGAGGACGGTCTTTATGAGGGAAGAATGGCCGATGAGATCGCGGCACACGGTCACTTACAGGACAATACGGTCATCAGGAAAAGAGCCGACATGGCGCCACAGAAGACGATTAGGCGGGAGTGCTTCATGGACAGAATGGCAGCTATGAAGAATGTCTTATCCCCGAGTTCACTGACGATGATCACCGATATAGAGGCGACAAACGCGTGCCAGTATCCAAGGCTCGATTTGGCTATCGACTTTGCGTCCTTTACCATGTGCTCCAACGCTCGCAACTGTTGCTCGCCGACATCGTTCTTTCGTCTCTGAAACGTGTATGATAAAAAACACGTCCAGGCAAACGCATCTGGAGGTGCACTCACAAAGTGGTCCTTGATCGATTTGAATTGCTGGAGGCCACCGCTCCTCCGTTCGTCCTCTTGACTTGACTCGTTCGAATCATGCGACAAACATCGACAGCCGACAATGCAAACGGCAAGCACTACCACCCAAAACGTTGTCTTATAGCAGCCTCTCATTTTTGCCCTAAACGAAAGCAGTACTAAACAAACAGTACAAAACGTTCCTCGCACTTCATCAACGCAATCAAACGCGTCACAGTTTCTAACTGAAGCAAGTAGTTCGAAGTAACAGGGAAACGCTGACGCTAAGACACCACGATCTATACATCCACCCTTACACGGTCTCGTACACGAACTTGTCGAATAACCTCTTGAGGTGTGTATTCGAAGATGGAACTCATACAAATTTTTCATCCAACTTAATTATAAACATAACCTTAGGAATAGCATTAACTTACTATAAGATCAAGGTTTGTAGAATTTGAAAGGAGCTGTGAAATGTTGAAAAATATAATTGCCGTTTCAGCTTGATTCCGTTCACTGAGGCGTGATGCACAGTGCGCAAGAGGTCAGCTTCGAACTGCGAAGATGGTCAAGTTCGATTCGGCGGACAACAATCTTTGTGTTACACACGAACTCCCTTTAGCAAAGAATCTTTTTTGCGAGCTGCTTTAAGCCAGAGCTGCTAAGCTGGCAGAGCATATGACTTTTATTTGGAAGATATTGAGTTCGAGTCCTCGTTTGAGTCACTCGCTTTCCTTCCATCTGAGCTTGATAAATCAGCACAACCCTGCGGGAAGTTAACAGGAGACTACACACTACGTTCGTTACATGGCCTGTTGACTCTGCCTTTAAAAAGAAACAAGTG